AATTTTAATCTAATTTTAAATTTTTATTGTTAATATTAATTTGGTTTGTTTTTGGATACTTTATTTAATTCCTTTTTAACCTTTGTAATATGTGGGTTTTTTTAATGTTGTACGCTGCCCTGCGTCCTTTGGGAGAAGGGCGGCATATAAATCCAATAAACTAACAATAAAAAAACAGACTAGCAATGCCCAGTTCCTGTAACCGTTCTTCATATGTTTTAGTCTCCAGTTCCCTAATCATCCTGGTTGTTCTCCTCTGCACTTTTTCTAAAGTCTCAACATCTTTTTAAAAGTTCACTGAACTGAACTGAAGAAACTTCTTGGATGAGAAGCGAAACATCTTCGAGTAAAAACAAAGTCCAGTTGACTTTTGAAAAGCACCTTTGAGACAACCTTGACCTAGATGACTGAGAATCTCCATAGACAAGTGATAGAATTGCTTATCATTGAATGATCTCATATAAACATCTTGTTTCTGTTTGCTTCAACCTATTGATAATGATGATGTCCAGCTTACTTGCACAACCACAGGAGTCAGAAAGGGATGATGGTAATCTCAAAGGCAAGAAGTACTCCTGACAGAATGAGATAAACTTTGCTTTTACTGGCTTTGAGAAGGACTTTCTGCAAATGCATGCATATCCTATGAATAACAATGTGTAGTAAGCATGTTAATATATACATTCAAATGAAAACTGATTTATGCTTATAGTTTTTAAAAGAAAAGATTTCAACAAGTATCTGGATGTAAGGGATGAAGGAAGACCCATGATGGTTTAGGCCAAAGGCTAACCAACAGTCAATTACTATAGGTTAGATATCAATAGAAAACTCAGGATAAGACAGGAGCAGAGTAGCATCTTCCTTCTCCAGTACTGGAAATATTGTACAGCAATCATGATTAGTCATAAAGATTCCTTTAAAATTTGTCCAAATTACCTAAGTATTACATTCGGTAGTAATTAATTCTATAGCTTAAGTAGGTACTATATGAAAATCACCAAAGCTCCTGCTCAATGCAAATGTCTGAACTGAAGCATCCTCATTAGACAACAGTCTAGTCTTTAAGTGAGCATTTCAGCTGAAGAAGAGCCCTCCAGTTCTCTGGGCAATTGGTTCCACTATCAAAATGATCATATAGTTTGGTAGTTATTCTGTGTCCTGCACTTTAGAATGAGAGAGAATCAATTTTGACTTTCTTGATGATGATGTGAAGCTCCTCACAAGTGGTTGTTGAAGAGCCGAGGTGGCGCAGTGGTTAAATGCAGCACTGCAGGCTACTTCAGCTGACTGCAGTTCTGCAGTTCGGCTGTTCAAATCTCGCCGGCTCAGGTTGACTCAGCCTTCCATCCTTCTGAGTTTGGTAAAATGAGGACCCGGATTGTTGTTGGGGGCAATATGCGGAAACAGTAAACA